CCCAAGTTAGCAATTATTGATGAAATATGTTACAGATAACTACTGCTGAAAAGCTGTTTTATAGTTAAAACTACCAAATATTTTTATTGTCCGCTTGTTACTAACATTGACTTTAGTATTCTTTCAAACTTCCTATGAAAATCATAAGCATCAAAAGAATCATCAGAATCCTTAAGAAACAGAAAACACATTACAGCTATGTTGCTGTTGAGCGATTAGATAAGAATGATATGAGTGAACCTGTATTTCAATAAATGTAGATTAAATGTCATATTGTCAAGGAGGCTGAAAATAAATGAGAACTGTCGATAACCTACTTCATATGTTTTCCTCAGTTGTCTCGACATAGTTTCCAATCTTTAACAATGTATGTAGCTTAGAGGCATCTTTCCCTTCAATTCGTACAAACCCCCACACACTATACACTGTGACCATTAAACAACTCGACGTCTTTGGTCTGCTCAATGAGGTTGAAACAGGCGAATCCACGAAGCCCGATGAGATGTATCCGCGAAACGCTTAAGTATATGTTTCAATCTATCTGTAACCGAGGGTCGATTACCAAAAGACTTGGAGAACGCCAGTGGTAAGTCCTGCCTTCAAAACAGGTACGAAATATAAACCTAAGAATTATCGACCCCTAAGCCCAACTAGCGTAGTTGTTGAAGGTTTTGAAAAGATTGTTCAGAGAGAGTTGTCTAAATATCTCAACGGAAACCTAATTCTTCCTGAAGAAAAGCAGGGCTTTGGAACAGATTATTCCTGACTCACTAACATATTAATAGCGAAAGGATCAAAAGTCATCTATAGTTTTAGCACACACTGACTTCAGCAAAGCTTTTGGCAAATTTCCTCCCAACCGACGCCCATATAAGTTAGGTAATATTAGGGTCGGAAGTAATTCACCAATATAGATAAACGACTAACAAAGAGTAGGGGTGAATTCAAAGTTATCCAGCTAGGAAATTGTGCTTGGTAGAGCATCTTAGTGTGCATTTTTTATGTAGGTGTTGATCATCCTGTGTGTAAAGACCTCCCTCCTTTCCGATCAAAATCGGTTTTGTTATATGCTATCGATGTAAAAATATGGAGAGAGATTATATGTAAGTGTGAAAGTTCAGCGCTTCAAAATGTTTATGAGAAATTATTTGACCGATCTTAAGTTTGGCAGTTTCTGACAAAGGCTTCCAAGTGCCTTGTGGTGCGTATTAGTCACCAAGGTACAGATATCTACAAGGTGAATGACATTGAACTACCTGTTATCCAGACAAAATAATTCAGTAGTCATCGTTAGCAAAAAGTCAGAAACTAGGGCACACTTCCGTGCGATAGCCGTCAAAGGTTTTAGAAACCTGTGGTCAGTTGGTAGGGCCTTTAGCTATACCGATGCTAAAACCTTTTTGACCATGTATATGGTATTCCTGGGTCCGAAAGTCGAGGATTGCATACAAGAAACTAACCTCTTGCCTGCTGAGAGACAGTAAGTTATTAGAAAAGCTAACAGAGAAGCCTCGTATGGTTCTCGACTGTCCTATCTCAACTTACTTCAATTGTCGTGTAAAACAGAGATGACTTGATTACAGTTTCTGAACTACCTGGTGATAAATTTAGGTCTGATATGCCTTCGTTCTTCTTGCCTTCCGAGACGGAGAATTAACGGGGACACTCAAAAATAGTTCACAAGCCCGGAATAAATTACAATTCAACTGACTACCGGCTTTCCCGTCCATCATCAACAAATAGAATTCATCGCTTTAACATGTGACTTAAGCTACAACTATCGACGCTTTCAAGAAAAAATCAAATCGATTGAGAGACCACCTCTGATAAGACTAACACGGACCATCTAGCCTCTTATCCTTTCCACCGAATAGTGAATTACTGGAATTCTCTACCGGAACACGTAATATCAGCACCGTCTGTTAATATATTCAAAACGAGATTGGACCTCCACAGTATTACAAACTGCAAGGATTAATATAGGTCGACAGACCTCCTATCCTTATTACTGAAGACTGAAGACTGAAACTGAAGTCGATATTGGACACTAGATTGGATGTGCTTATTGTCGTAAAATTCAAACCTGAAGGTTCGTTAAGTTTGCGTTATATATATATATATATATATTCTATTTATCTCTCACTATCACCTTTATTCCCTCGAAAATCTCATGGTTTTATATAGATTTCAGCCTGTTCTTTTCATGGTTATTCTTAGATTTCAGGTTATCAAAATTGTGAAATACCTAAGGGCGTCCTTGATGTTGATTTTGCACACTCCCGAAGACATTAAAGAGAGCTTAGTGCCCATGTTTATAGGTGATCTTTTTTGAGTAAAATATTAATCAGTGACTTATCATCTCATAAACAAGCTTTGAAATCTGACTAGTTTAGGGACAAAAGTATTTATGCCATTTATTGTCCTTTTTCTGTATTCTTGTTTCAAACATCTTGTTGATCAAGCCATCTTAAAGACGTTTGCACGGCTTTCCTTGACACTGCGTCTTCAAGATTAGTCGTTTCGGACGCTAACACATATTTCTTAACTCCGGTTAGGGAACCTCACGATGGGGTTTCGTCTTTCTCATCAACTGATCAATGACGAGACTACCCTTACCCATCAGACTGTATCAAATTTGCCGTTGAATACTCTTAGTAGTTGGCATTACGGCAACTATCTTCTCTAAGAATTAACAGTGCTATTACAGGTTTACGGTGGATTATCATATACCAGTCAGTCACAACCTGTAACCCGATACGTATATACATTGGTTCAAGTTACCCTAGTTCGTTAGCACGTAGGGATGGTATCACCAGACTAAATCCCAGTATAGTAAAGGAAATATAAGTATGGGTCTTAGTTGAAAAGATTTGGCATCAAAGATACGATTCTAGGAAATTCAAATTAGTGAACTAACGGCATAAAGGAAGTTATCAGGAATTCAGAAGCTCAGAATTTGAGAGGAGGCATAAAGTAGTTGCACCTGCGCCATTGCAAACGATTTGGAATCATGTAATCCAAGATCATCGCGTTGACTCCAACCAGGTAGTTTATATTTAATAACATTGCTCAGTCCAATTGCCATTGGCCGTATCCCTAACCCATGCATTGATAATTGTGGTCCCATAATGCACAAGCGATTCTTCGATGACACTTATGATCGAATACCAGTAATATATGAACATTCCCAAGAATTTCTCCAAAAGTATGTCTCCGACGATGTTAAATATAAATAGTGCTAGAGACGTTATCAGATATGGCTCAGAATAGAAGCCTTCTTTTACTTTCTTCGTAAAAAATGGTTGTATCTTAACTGAAAGATTTCTTCTGATTATACCTTTCCGTTCCCCCATTAATACTATTATTATTACACTACCTTACACCAATCTCTTCGTTATTGTTCTTTTTTTACACTCCCTACCTTTTTTTCTTTTTAAATTCTCACTGTTCTGTCTGGCGCATATATATTTGGCGCACTCTTGTACTAATATTTATGTGTCCAAATAAAACAAATAAATGGTAGGAGCGGACAACCTTGACGAACACCACTTTAGCCGATTCCGATGATTATTTGCCATAAGCTTTAACTTATACAGTAGTGTTTGATCAGGTAGCCTTTTCAAATTTAATATTAACCTCACGATCAACTGAGTCAAACGTCGCCTTGAGGTCAAGGAATACAACTAATCGGATGTCGAAGAGTATGTCTATGTTCCAAAAACCGTCGGAGGGTGAGTATTTAGTCTATACATCCACGTTCAGGTATGAAACCAGCCCGTTTTTCTCGGGTTTTCTCTTCGCCAGCTCTAGTTGGACGTCGAATTATTATTCAGGCTAACATTTTAGAAATTGTATCAGCCAGTTAGTCATTTAGACACCTTATCAACTAAACTAATTCCTCTGTTATTGTTACAAAAAGATTTATCTTTATAAATTGGGATACTTATTGATCGAGACCAGTTAGATGGAATTACATCCAATTCTCAGATTTTAGCTAAGATGTCTGTTAATCTAACCGCCGAAACTGGACTACCATCATTATCAATCTCAGAGGTTAATCCACTAGGCCATTTTGCTCCCCAATACGTCAAATTGGTTATAGCCTCTTCAATATCACTAAGAGTTTAAGAATTTACATCAATTTACCATTCATGTTTCTTGGAGATAGTGGGTGGCTAAAGCCCAGTCGAACTGTTCCCTAAAGTGTTCTGCCCATCAGTCAAATCTCCTGGATAAAAAGTGATTAGTAGTTTTGTTTTTTTCCGAGATAGTAGACTTATCCCCCGATATTTGTTACAGAAACAACGTGAACACTTTTAAAGATAGGGATAACTATCGACTCATCCCATGATGTTGGAACACTCTCTAGCTCCCAAACCTTTGTAAACAACGTAGTCATTTCCTTAACCAGAAAGTCACCACCATCTTCAAAAAGAGCCGGAGGTAGGTCATCTGGGTCTCACTAACAATTGGTTTTTAATACCCGTTTGCTTGACAGGTATGAACAGTTGTCTACAGTTACCTATCGCCACTACCTTTTCTATCTCTTCTACTTTCGCTACCCTCCACTGATCAAAATCGTTGCATAGGCTTTTTCCTAGCCTATGTTCAATTTACCTCCGCTCCTCATCGTGTTCGCGGCTAGACTGAATGAGTTTCAGAGCATTTATCATTCCTGTAGACACTGCTGATATCCACTGATTTCTCATTACTGTTTATTTTGGGTTAGTAGTAGATATAACTTGTTTCCAAAACTATTTGGATATCGTACCAAGCCACCTCGCGATTGATATCGCTTACGTGGTTGTCTAACTCCTTTCAGTCAGTCAGTAACAACGTAGAACTTCCTACGTACGTACATCAGTTCGAGTTGCCACACCACATTAACACAGAGATGCAGTGGTCGATTCAAATCCCGTAGTAGTAGCGGTAGTAAAAGTAGAAGCAGTAATCGGAAAGATTAGGGTTTGAAGATGTTATTCAAGGAGTATAATCCAGTGAAATAAATTTGGAAAGAGAAAAAAAAAGGGACATGAAAAATTCAGAAGATAAGAATTTGGGAAAACACAAAATTGATGCACCTGCGTTATTGTAAACGATTTTGAGCCGTGTCATTCAAGATCTTTAACCATCTATCGTTATTCCTGGTCTAACTCCTTTAGTTGTTCCTGAAATATACTCCTAACTTTGCATTATTAAGTTAGACCCTAAAGTGATTTCTACGTCCAGAAAAATGCAAACAAATACGCGCTCGAACTAGACCATGATCCGAGTCTAAACGTGTGCTCCATAATGAGCGATAGCTTTCTATCGAGCATGGTCCGGGTCAATTGTGGCGTCCCCGAGTCAAATGATGCGTTTCCTTATGCTTGAAATTGGTAAAAACACGGCTATCTAAATATATTCTCAGTAAACGTAGGAAATGACATCGAGCTCTTAGTACCCCGATCCGTCGGACAGCGCACACAAAAGTAGATCGTACCAGTTTTCTATATTGACAAAGTGAGGTCAAACAAACGACCGTACTTGGATTCTGTATACGCACGAGATTTTGGAGTCCTAACTGAAGTAGCCTGTGGACTTGTTTGACACACTGTTCGAACACTAAAAGCTGAAAAATGTAGTTTATAGCGTGGTTTCATGATACCAGGAATGATATTTCGTGAATCCAAATCATTAGCATTTGTGGCACGTGGTTTTTCTTGGGTATAGGATAATTATTAAGAGGTTAAGAGGAAATCCGATGGTGAACAAAATGATCCTCGGTGCTGTTAGACGTAATAAGAGCGTTTGTCACTTATCGGCTTCCTACACTGTGGATGAATATTTCTTTTTGAGGGATCCGATAAAGAAGCTGGATCGGTATTGGCCGTAGAGATTTGAGAGCGTTACCGTAGAGCTCAAAGGACGACTGCTTAGGGTCTATGGCCCACGCCCTTTTAATGGGTAGCTCTTGATGTATTGTCTCCGCACTTCGAAAGAACTTACCATCGGAGGCGGAGTAAGATGATGTGACATTTTTAGGGTCGACCTTCTCCAACCCCTTCCGTTGTGCAAAGGTAGCAACACTGCAGACGCTAGTTTTCCGAAGGAAACAGTACTGCCATCACATCTCTCTATAGTCATCAGTACGACTTGTCATCGGTTCTTAAGTTTCTGCTTTTACTCTTACCTTTCTCCAACCGACCTACCTGGCATGATAGGACCTAAAGGAACATGTGTTCCAGCCAATATAGCTCGGTTGAGTCATCACGATAGGCAAGGCCGACTACCACGTCAAGGTAGATGCTACGGTCTGGAGCTGTCCACAATGTCGATGGATATTCTATTTCCAGGTACTTAAAAAGAAATACTGATTAGTAGCTGTTTTCCTGAGCTCAACCACAAGGCGCAAAGAATTATTGGTGAACGTCGGTTATACACGGGTTTTTAGTAAGCAGTATTTTTGATTGCGTTAGCTTGGTGGTTCTGATTTCTTATCTTCTGTGGCAATAGTCCGTTGGTCAAGGTGAGGTGTACTATTTTTTCGAACCCTTTGATTTCACTCTGAAAATGCACCATTACTGGAGAGATGCTGGTTATTCGAAAGAAACCTTGCAGCTGTAATACTTAAGTACAGTCAGTAACATGACCACTTCGAAACTTACGTTTCTCTATGATTAACACAGACCAACGGATCTGTCATTTTTATCACTCAAAAACAAAGCTATTTAGCCTGGGAAATATATATTCTCCGCCGGAATCTTTGTTTTTTCCTAAAAACTGAAGACGTATTAGTTTGTTGTGTATTTTCTATTCGCGCTAAAAATATATGTTCCTCATATTTGTTGGATTTGAAGTTTATTCCTGTACCATGTTTCACGAGTAGAGTAATGATTTTCGTGGTTCAGAAAACCATCGAGTCACAAAATGCCTACGAGTATCATAAGTGTGCTGATTTTCCTGTCTTATAATGACGAACAGTATCAAGATTATAAAAACCGTATGTCAAAGTTGTGTGACTGGACTATAGGTTATTCCCAAAACGCTCACAAACAACCGTTTGACACTTCACAGTTGCACTATAATTGCAGAAATCTCAGGCTATTGTGAAATATCTAATAAAGTCACTTCTTGAATATTACATAAAGTATGAAGCTTACCGACTCACGTAAGACCTTATATTTACTATTATGATAAGTTCTGAAAGCTCTTATATTATAGGCTAGCTAATTTTGACGGTCTTTTGTTATTCGCTGCAATTTTCGGCTGCAAGTAAATTCTCTAGTTTTGCGTTTGGTTTTCTATCCCCACAGATTACACAAATTTGTCGGAAAGGTCTGTATTTTGCAGTGGTGCCTCATTCGAAATCTTTGGGTTTCACATGGTAAGAATTTTGTTACTGGTTTATCAATTCAGTTGGTCCTAGTGATCGGTGACTTCCATATTCCTGACAGGAAACGTTCTTTACATCCTGCTTTTAAGACTCTTTTAGCTCCTGGAAAAATCCAACATATATTATGCACGGGAAACCTTACTTCGAAACATATGTATGACTATTTAAAGCTTATTTGTGGAGATGTGCATGTTGTGAAAGGCGACTTTGATGAGGTATGTTTTGAAAGCTATTGTCATGAAATTTAAGGCTTTAGATTTCCCTCTTACAAAGGTTTTAAGCGTTGGAAACTTTAAGATAGGACTTATACATGGACATCAAATAGTTCCTTGGGGAGACCAAAAAAGTTTAGCTACGCTGCAACGGGAGTTAGACGTTGATATATTGATCAGTGGTCATACTCATAAGTTTGAAGCCTATGAATATGCTGGACACTTTTATATCAATCCTGGTTCTGCTACCGGTGCATATAGCCCTTTTGAAAAGTAAGTACTACTTCTTTACTTTGTTCGCCAATGACTGAGATTTGCATTAGGATTCAGTATTTATTGATGAATGTGATTAATCAGTAGGTAAACAGCGTAAGATCTAAACAACCTGGATTAATTCATGCTTCACTGTTCAATATTGACGAATCATATGTGTATATTTCCCTTTTCGTTTCTTTTTTCTAAATAGAAACCCGCAACCTTCATTTGTTCTTTTGGATATTCAAGAAACCGCAATACAGTTATATGTGTACACCCTAGTCAATGATGAACATAAAGTTTCTCGCATAGAATACCAGAAAAACAAATGTTTATAACTATGAACTAACTATTCATTGTATTTTAGCAATATCTTGTAATTTATTCTTCCCATTATAATAAAACTGATTTTGACTACATGCATTCTTAACATTTCAAAGTGCTTAATTTTAGTATAAGAGCAGGAAAAATAGCACAATTCCCCGTAATCATGAATGCGAGTTGGCAATTCAGAGTAAATCGGCTTCAGTTTTAGCTTTCAGCTTCAAAAACTCCAGATTATATGACCTATTATTCAAAATAGAAACTTGTCCAGGATATTTCTCGTCATTCCCCCATGTTACCTTGAGATGTTTTGGAATTTTACGCTTCCTTTCTAAGTCTACTACCTAGCATTTCAATTTTACTGAAGCATATCTACTATATAAATAATTTACATATCGTGTGTAAGACTAAGCGATTCTCAATCATCAGCATGGACTTTGTGAATTCTCTACGAGAGTATTAGATTATTTCTCTCCGTGCAAGTAATTGAATACGCAGTTATTAGTAGACTGAATGCGAACCGTCCAGGAAACATGTGGACATCTAGGCAACAAATTCCTGTTAAAACTTAGAGAAAATGAAGAAAGATATATTTCCGCACACTAATTGCAAGCTTATATGTCATTAAGGAATTTAAACGGATCCGGACTTTTTCCAAAAATTGGACTAATGACTATACTGTGCCTCTGTATTTTTATATTACAGTTACTCAATTACCCTGCTGCATAACTAGAAATCCTCAAACAGTATTTATCAAAACATAGTGTAATCGTCTGTAGATTGCAAATGATATTCTGAGATGCTGTTTGCGGAGATATTGATCCCACTCTTATTTCATATTCATTTAGATAGTCAGCTACGATCTACCAAGCGGCATAGCTGGAACCGGTTATCCACAAGATTCTCAGCACCGATATCTATCCAGAACCTGAGTCGGTTTTAAACTGGCTTTTGCAACGAACTGATTATAGTGAAGTGACAGCTAAGATTAACTTTATTAATCTACCGTTACTGTTTCGCATACAATCAAACTTATTCAGACCTTTTTGCTACACAAAATTGCATGGAAACCAGTTTCCGATGGTTTTGTTTTAATATTATCCAATATAACGTAAGAATGTCACTATTACTGTACATATATACTTATAAGTTAAGGCCTTGCGACTGGTGTATAAAGGTTTAAATATGAGACAGTAAAACTACATAGTCGTAGCTGGCATTTGCTCTCCCAACATAAATAATACTGCCGTAGGTTGTACGTTGTAAATGGTGCTTGTCTAGGTGAAAGTGATGTATTGCATAGGTAGGAACGAGGATTTTACTTCGAAACATGACTTGACACTCCTAAGTGTAAACTCGTACTATAAGTTTTTGGTTTCTGGCCAATGAAGATATTCCTAATAGGCACTAAATAATATAAGGACTGAAAATTACGAATCATAACTTCAGATACTACGGCACTTTTTAAAGAGCCGGTCACAATAATGTAGTAGATAGGCAATGCGAACACAGTAGACAACTGATGTTGTGGTCTATTATTGGTTTCATGTGATGGTGTAGTAATTATTACTTGCAAAACCGCATTATTAGAGCAGAACTGTTGGTTGTCACTTCCAAAACGGTAAAAATAATAAATACAAAAGTAAGCACAATTCAAAGTCATTCAAACACTAGAGATTGTAGGATATGCATTGCGGAAGTAAATTATTTGCTTTGAATAGTTCGATTTACGGTAATGCTTGTGTTGTTTTCATTACCCCGATGACAGGTCAATCTAACCTAGTGTCCCAATGGCAAATAATGACAAAAGCTCAGTAAAAATACCTCAAACATTTTATTATTTTTATTTTAACACATATTGGTACAAGGAGGCACCAAATACATATGCGCCACACAAATCTCATTCGATATGTGTGAGGGCTGTGATACTGCCCGGGTGCCCAGACCAAAGCAGGTGGCTTCTTAGGGGGCTACACCCCGAGCCTTCGACCTGAAGGTCTAACCCACAAGGCAGTGGAGCATCGTAAGGAGATGCCGTCCCATGGAAGCCGGTGACCAACGATTGGTTCATACGCCATTTGTTCCCGCAGGATACTGGAGCCCATGTGCACCATTGGTTTGGGATCCGGTTAAAACGCCGGATATTCGCTTTTCGTCCTCTCATTTTCTTAAACAACACCCCCGCCACGAGAAGGCAGTGAGTAGGACTTCCCTGGCAGAGGCTGTATACGCGTGGCCATGTGAGAGCATTTCGAGAGGGGGAGCGGACTCTCTCCACTCCCGCCCGTACCAGGGCATTTGGAGGCCGTCAAACATTTTGGGTTCTTTTATCACGTGAGTAGTTTCTAAGTGTAAGAATAGGTACATGTTACAGCAATTAAGTAGCTTTGAAGTAAAGGAAAGGTCGAATTTATGGTGAGTCAACTGTAGAGAGGTCTGTGACCAGCGACTTCTTACAAATTGTGCACTTTACAATGTATATGTATTATATGAACAGAGAAAGCTGAATAAATGATACAGATATAATCTGTCGAGAACGAAGTAGACTGGCTTCCGCTTAGTTTATGATATTAGGTGGATAGCTTTTCACCCGGATTGCAAACATTAAAACAGTGAAGTTTAAAGTGAGTTGTTATATATATATATATATATATATATATACTCGTTATGTTATAAGTTTATTGTTTATGATAAAGAATCATGCTGCACATCAGATGGAGGATAATGTCAGCCACAGGAACATCCAAACAGTGACTGACTGTGGGGGCAATATTTGTCAACTATTGATGGGATGTGAAATGGATGGATGTCAAAAACGTCTATCACAGCAATCCTGTGCAGAAAGTAGCAATATCTTTTGAGTTTCCTTAAGCCTTGTAAAGTGAAGAATTTGTCGTGTGTTGCGATTTCCAACTTAGCAGTTAAACTTTGGGTTGAACACTGACAGGTTGCTTCTACTTAAATCTAGTCAGTATCTGTGTTTGGATATATATGAAAACGTTCTAGTGATTACAGCCATTTTTGGTTCTTAATATCGATCACATTATGTTCTCACGATATGGAAAATTCATACTAACAACAACTTTAATTTACTCATAATTGGAATGCTCAACGAATGATTACTTTTCATGGGGTTAGGATGAAATGCAAGCAGATACGAGTCAAAGACAGCAGATTAGGTATGAATGGTAGTTTTTTCTACTATAATAATATAGGCCAATATCTTTATACTGAGACGTAAAAATCTGTGACTTATTACCGTGATTATTCAAACACACCGTGACAACTAGTTGGGTTAATAAAAAGTAACGAAAAGCTTGTTGAACAAATGAATTCAAACGGTTCCAATTTTCGTACAGTTAAAAAGCTACTCACTGTGTATTTCACTTAAATATACAAGATATATACAGTAAAAATGGGATAATTGTTCATTCATCTTTTTCATAGTGAATGGTAACTTTACGCTTCTTTTTAGGATTTGTCAGAACAAGATTATGTTCAGCTTCCTCTTCTTCATTTTCCTCATCGATCACTCCGATATCTTCAATATCTTCAACGTCAGATCCTGAAGTGTAGGCGATTTCTTCTTCTTCTTCCTCGTATTCTTCATCAGATTCTTCTTCATTTATTTCTTCAGCTTCCAGAGCCTTTTCAAAGGCAGATTGATCTATGTTATATATTTCCTTGGAAGATGTTGATGCGCGTAATCTTTCTAAGAGTTCTTGTTCTACAGTACGTTCAATGCGTGCTACACGTAATGCTTTTGCTTCTCTCCTTAATTCACGTTTTTCAACCGTACGATTAATAGGTTCTAATTTCTTTTGTCTTGATAAGGCCAAACGCCGCATATTTTTAAGATATTCTCTTGTGCGAAAGAATCTCTGCTTAACACGACTTATTATCCATTTATCCCAATATAATAAGTGCTCTTTGATTTGTTTCAGAGCTTGTTCTTTATTCCGGCGCAATTTAATCCGCTCCCACTGTTTACCAGGATAAGGTATACGTTCAGGTTCCTTGACAAACAGGTAGATGATACCATCTCTTTCTTTTATAGTGGCATACTGTGAGTTGGCTAATGGGCAAGAATGTCGATTACACAATCCTGTCACATTGTCATCATTTCTGCAAAACCTTCCTGTTTTAGTTTTGACAACAAAAGAACAGAATGAATGGTTGATAGTGTGCCATATTACGTCGTCGTTATTCATTTCTTGAAAAAGCAAAAAAAGTTATAAGAACATGAATAACAATCATATTTAAACAAAAAAGTAGTTTCAGGTTTTTAAGTGACTGCAAATTGTATTATTCATTTTCGAATGTTAAGCTAAAGGTCTATTTATTCTTAAATGAATAATTTAGACACAGAACTCGATTATCGTGCAATATTGTTACGACATCTTATACCAATGATAACAGAGCGACTTATTTACCAAGTGGATATTCGGATATTTTGAGCTAAACTTTTCGTGTGCAAGGTACTTGAATTAAAGTGGATGGATATGTAGTACAGTCCGGCTGAAAAGTTATAATATACACTGAAAAAACCAAAAAAACTTCCGTCATTCCTGACAAGACTCTATCAGACAACACCTCATCAAGGTTGATGAGATACCTCCGAGAAAAATCAAGTGATCGGGACACTCGGCTGCTTTACTTCCCACTACCAGTTTAGGTGTTCATCCAAGCCCGTTTCGAAGTAATATTTTGCATTTGGAGGAAACGCAACCCACCACAGACATACAAATATTGTTGCTTGAAGCAGTTTCTTATAAGATACACGATGAGACTGTTATAGCTGAATGTCTAAGCAAAATTAAAAAAACAAAATAGGAAAAGCGAACAACCTTGGCGAATACTATTTGAAATATTAACTTTGGTGACAGTTCGCCATAATTTTTACCTTCATCAGCAGTGTTACCAGATTGAACTTGTATAATTTTTAAAATTTCACGGACAGGTAGTTATTATTCATGTGTTCAGAACGTCTAACTGAAAATTCATTCTTTATTGGAGAGCTTACTTGAATACTTATGCCCCTTACTCCTCGTGAGGCATAGGCCACCTGTTAGAATTATCCAAAGAACCTCATCCCAGGCACTCATTCTCAGTTGTTTCCAAATGCCATTCATTCCTGCCCTTGATTCTCAGAGCAATATGTTCGTCAATCTGTCTCTTTCTATATTTTCCCTTGAGGATTCCAAGTTAGGGCTCTCCTCGTGATACAGTTTGATCTCCGTAATGTATGTCCTACCCGCCTCAAGAGTCTTCTCCTATACAGTTGGAAGCTGGTTTGTTCTGTCATAGTTTGTTGCTGACAGTATTCAGCTGACGCATCTAGAGTATCTTGCGAAGACGACTTTTTGTAAATACTTGTAATTTTGTGACGATGAGTATGGTGTTCCTCTAAGTTTCAACATACGATTAAGTACAGAAATGAGAAAAATTGGTGATCGGACCGAGGGGCAAAGCATAAAACAGACTTCGCCATCTTAAATCGTTCTCGCTCGATTGCACGCCAAGTCACATCGAAAAAAGCATTTTGTCTAAACTCTACTAAAGCACTCTACGAAATGTTTAATACCTGAAGAATCGCACATCACAGAGCGAACACTCAGGTACGGCCATACTTTTGTCTACTACGAGTCACCCCTACATGAAAAATCTCTCATATGATGCTAAAAAATCCCATTTATTTGACTTCATCAAACCCACCGCTAACAGAATTTCACCTGGTACATTTGTGACTAATGAACGCCTTGTAACTTATGTACGACTACAATTACTGCTGTTACCGTTGATTTTAAACATTTGAGTTGACAAATACCCAACTTTTAAAATCACATACGGCTGACAAATCGGTGAATTCATATTTGCGTTAAGACAAGTACAAGAAATCATACAATGTATATCATATATATATATATATAATGTATTGTACGCACCATTATAATCTACCAAACATTTAGTCGCAACCCCACAAAAGGTACCGAAAAATCTTAGAAGGGTTAGTTTTAGTTGTTTCGTGTTAATACATCTTAAACTGATAATGATTATGCAAAATAGAACACCGAGTTTTAGATGTGCCACGTTCCTTCAATAATTCTGAATATTTATGTTGATATTAGTCTTATCAACTGAAAACATTGCGTAGAAAGTCTGAGAACTGGGGGATATAGGTGAATGAGGTGCTAAGGCAATTCAAAATATCCTTTGATCGACGTCTACTAACCATGCTTGCACTTACCATAGCGAACTATTCAATAAACCCGGTTTTTATTTCCAATAAATTAATAAGTGAAATCTCCAGTTCAGTGAATTTAATTTCATGTTAGTCGTATAACTTCATATCCTGTGAGCGGTAGGCTCAGGAAACGGCTTTTAAGCAGGTTAAGGTATTTATTACTCGGACATCAGAAATCAGATATTATGACTTGACAAAACCAACTGGATATCTAATTAAACATTTACTCCTCGTGAGGCATAGGCCACCTGTTAGAATTATCCAAAGAACCTCATTCTCAGTTGTTTCCGAGTGCTATTCATTCCTGCCCTTGATTCTCAGAGCAATATGTTCGTCAATCTGTCTCTTTCTATATTTTCCCTTGAGGATTCCAAGTTAGGGCTCTCCTCGTGATACAGTTTGATCTCCGTAATGTATGTCCTACCCGCCTCAAGAGTCTTCTCCTATACAGTTGGAAGCTTGTTTGTTCTGTCATAGTTTGTTGCTGACAGTATTCAGCTGACGCATCTAGAGTATCTTGCGAAGACGACTTTTTGTAAATACTTGTAATTTTGTGACGATGAGTATGGTGTTCCTCCACGTTTCAATAGCTCACAGTAAGACCGTCTTGACCTTTGTATGGAAAATTCCGACTTTGATGTTGGCTGACAGTCGGTTTGAATTGCATGTGTTCCGCAATTGTAGGGGTGTTGTAGTTGCTTTGTCGATCCCTGCTTTTACTTCTTCGTCAGATGCAGCTTGTGTATCGATTAGTTTGCCCAGGTACGTGAAAGACTCCGCATCTTCCATAGCTTTTCCGCTAAGTGTGCTCACTACGTTGAATTATGGGATTTCTCTTTGTTCCTTATGCATGGTAAGGCCTACTGATGCGTGGGATGCTGCTACGGTTTCTCATGTTTATTTGTTGGTGATAATGCTATGGGAGAGAGAAATCATCCGCGAAGATCAAAATGTACAGCTGCTGTGTTCAAAATTTCAACTATATTCCTCATATAGAGAGCCAATCAGAAGTAGCCTGGTGAGAAGTTGTGGAGATAGGTCTGACAAACTTATTTTGTAAATAGTTTTTAATATTATTGGTATTTATTTTGTCAATTTCTCACTACATGTACATTTATCATTAAATGATTGTACCTTTTGTTTTAGTAAATGACCTTGAACACACTTTCCGTTGTGATATTAACATAGCATGACATACCATTGCTGGCTAACAAATACACTGCCTCACACATTCCTCGTTCTATTTTCATTCGTGATTGAGTTAACTGAGATCTAAGACAAATATTATTTACGTTCATAAACTGTGAGTGTGAATACCTCATACCTTGCTTTAGATTACACCACTGGAGAGTTCATCAACACGTTTGGAATTACCAAGCATCTATAATTGTGGATTTATTGTAACAGATTAAAGCTGAACACGCATCATTTTGGGTGAACTTAAGTAAAGTCCCATTTTTATTGTATTTGTAACATTTAACTGGTATATATTAATATTACTATTGATTTTTATTAACTTTGTTGATACTTTTTGCGTTTATATATCGTCTGGTCCACCACAATTATTTGGTGAGCCTCGTGTTTATCCTAACTGTTATATTGTTTATCATTTCATACAATTTACTGGTTTGTTTTTTTCTCGTAATGTCCTCACACTAAACTCATTGATATGGTTTCGCCTGCAGTAACGACTTTTGTCTCACTGTCGAACTCTCCTGAAAATAATTTTAGTTCAGTTAATTCTATCTCAGAATTCAGACTCCCAACTTATGGAGCTAATAATCCAAGAGTCTGGTTTGCACAAATTGAAGCTTTGTTCATGGCTAGAGGTATAAGATCTCAGGCGACAAAGTATGCATATGTAGTTAGCGCACTTCCTATTGAGATTGCCGCTGAAGTCGGGGATTTAATCGATCACGTGCCAGAGTCTGAACCTTTCCAGTTCGATCCAGTTGTTGTTCATTCTTCTCATGTCTGTTTCCATTTCCCGGCGTCATGTGTTCTTTGGTCTTCCTCTTCTACTTTGGCCATCAGGATTCCAACTGAGAGCTTGCCTTGTGACACAGTTGGGTGCTTTCCTCAATGTGTATCCTCCTGTAGCCCCCTCGGGGCTACTGCCGGTCCCAAGCTTGGATCAAGGCGGAGGGTTGGGCACGGGGTTAGCGACCACATTCCGCAGAAAACTGACTCGCTAGAAAACTCGAACCAGAAAATAATTATTCAAGCCCGACAGTATTAACTGTAGACAAACTTAAAGGTAAGAGACGTTGTAGTGGCAATGAGCCCTAACCACACAATTATCAAAGCTGAACACGAGACAATCGGGTAAATAGATATTCAGCATTCAGCGAGGAGAATATCGAACGATGGAGAAGGTGAGAAGAGTGGATTTATGTGGTTCGAATTGATTGGATGGCATGGTCATACTCATGTAAAATAATCTTTATTCAGATTAAATATATTGTCCTATCTCCAGCCTAAATTTGTTCTTCATCATATATCGATGATTGTTACAATACGATGGGGCAATGTAGACGTTGATATGACTACCAAGTAAGATCTTATAAATTAGGCAGTTATGTTATGACATATCTACAATTTTTGGGATTAGGTCTATTATTAATGCAGTAGACCATAATGCTATAAGGTACTATAGTATTTGCGAAATGTATAAAACAAAGACTGTCTGCATAAAGTCACGAAATTAAAACAGTAAACATTTGTGATTAGAACATATGGTCTACCCACAAAAGAAACTGCATTTTATGTCTACCAGACAACAGAATATTGTCGTGATGTTACGGTCATTCCAGTTATTACAACAGACCGCGGATATCGGTTCAAATCCGGGTTGTGTAGAGTTGCAACGAACCTCTTAGAATTAACTCACCTCCAAACCACAGCGTACCGCATATAAGATAATGGAGTGGTAGAACGATTACACCTGCGGTCGATAGCCTCATCTTCCTCTATGAATACGCTACCGTCAACAAATAGCTTAGACTTGCCTTATCATTATTATTATTATCGGTGGCTGTATTCAACATTGTATTTTTAGCACAATATGGAATTCTCAAAAAATATTTCAACAAGTTTCCTTTTCTTATTTCTTGGCCGACACTTGCGATAAATATTGAATGGTGGCCAGTTAGGTGTTGGCAGTTCAGGAATAGGCATCCGATCAATGTATATTCTTTTCGATGCATATTCTCAGCAACTATGATGTCTCCGATTGGGCTGTTTTATAACTTGTACAGCGAAATGTCGGAAACAATTCACAAGCGCACCTGAATAGGTGATGCGACCATTAAACCTAATCATATATTAAACCAAACACAAAATCATACAACATGTTGAAATATCCATGCGGCAGGAACAGATGGCAAAATATTCGCATATTTCTGAATTTATGTGACATTTCTGAACCTATTTTGTGGCCTGGAACTTTCTAGATTTTAGTCCTAAAGCACGTCAATGATCACTCATCCTGTCAGTTGTGTTAAAACGGTTCTCACATGATATCTATGAGATTTGAAATCATAAGTATTTGTCAATAAATCTCCGATGTACCCTCTTGAAATGGATTTCGTCTGGTTGTTGTTTGCTATCACGGGTGTACTGTGAGTTCTCATAGACCTAATTTAAAATATACTTATTCACTTCAAACAGCGTACTAAATCTGTTTAAGATTATTGAAATTTCGTTTCAATACAATCTAAAATCATACATTAAATGTGAAGATATATTTTGACAGTAGTAAACTAACAGATTCGAAGCAAATTATTGACCAGTTTCATAATAGGTACTTTTAATCAGTTTC